AAGAAGAAGAAGAAGAAGAAGAAGAAGAAGAAGAAGAAGAAGAAGAAGAAGAATTACATGGTCGCGGAGTCAGGGAATCTCTTGCTGTATTAAACCCCGGGGGATCCCCTCGACAGCCGAGCTGACAGAAGAGAAATGGCTTAGGCATGAGCTGAAAGGAGGGCTCGTTAGATTAGGGGCATGTTTTGCACAGTCGCGAGCTATTGAAAGAGAGAGCTTAGAATTTTTATATATACTAGCTGTGCCCCCTTTCGATGAAAGGAATGATCGGTGCATTAACATCAACCGAAAGTCATTAGTCTACTAAATTTACCCTCTACTGGAATGGAGCAATAAATCTTGAGAGAAAAGTGGTATATGTGTTTCTAAGTTGCCAAATAAATAATACAGGTATAGATTGATTCTCTATTCCGCTTTCGTGTTTGTACACTTCACAATTTCTAAGATGTGGAAACAGTGCACACGGCTAGTCAACGGGAACCTCACTTGTTTACAATGGCGTCTTAGAAGATGGACTTTCCCAAGATTAGATCTAAACGAAACGAATGAAAAACTGAAAATTAAACTACAATAACTTCAGGCTCCTCAATGAAACTGTGCACCCTTTAAATGATTCTGAACCACCATTAATTTTGTCAAAATTAAGTGGTTCGGAAGTTTTAGGTGGCCATAGTGTGAACGTTCACAAATATAAAATACTAGCCGGGCACCCTTTCGATGAAAGGAATGATCGGTGCATTTACATCTGCTGAAAATCATTGGCCTACTCTTTTTACACTCTGCTGGAATGGAGACATAAATCTTGAGAGATGCAAAAATTTAGAAGATCTAGATATAGAGAGGTATAGATTGATTCTCTATTCTGCTTTTGTGGTTGTACACTCCAAAATTTCAAAGGTGTGGACATGGATGGCTGGTGCATCTATAAATAAATTATTGAGGATCAGATGTGGAATAGTTGCGCACGGCTAGTGAAGGGAAACCTCACTTGTTTACAATGGCGTCTTAGAAGACGGACTTTCCAAAATTAGATCTAAACGAAACAAATGAAAAACTGAAAATTAAACTATAGTGACTCCATGGTCCTCCAAAAAAAAACTGTGCACCCTTTAAATGATTCTGAACCATCATTAATTTTGTCAAATTCGAAAGTTAAGTGGTTCTGAAGTTTTATGCGGCCAAAGTGATGAACTTTCACAAATATAACCTATAGATATGTATATGGGGGGGGG